AAAACATGATCTGAGTGCAAATATCCCTCCCCTGCCAGCAGTCCCAAAATCACTGCAGGGCATCGAAGCCTTCGGGGAGCTCTAAGGAGAAGCCAAAGCAGCAGCTCTGGTTAATCCCTGACAGGAGCTCTGCACCCCAAGGGATGGCAAAGATGACAGAGCAGAGCAGCCAGGGTGAGGAAACAGCCAGGTACAGAGCCAGAGGACTGGGCTCCTAGTTTCTCTGAGCAGCAAGAGAGGTGCTCTTGCCTTTCTCAGGGGAGGAGCCCAGATAACTGATATTTCTCTGCTGAGAGGAGCACAAGTGGCTGCTGTTCAATGACTTCAGTGTTTTATTCTGCCTGTTCCTCAGACATGGTTTTAACACCTTGTTCATGCTCTTCCCAGGCCCCTAAGTGCTACGTGGGGCTTGCAGGGGGGAGCCATGCCCTAGCTCATCCCTCCTGCCCACCCTGGCGTGCCCCTGGACCAGCCCACGGGTAGAAGCCGAAGGGCTGGGGGCTGCAGTGGTCACCTTCCCCATGGCTTTGTCACCTTGGGGCTATCCCAACCTGAGGGTGTCCTTGGCAGGCAGTTTACATCTGTTCCCCTCTGCTTTTGTGCTGCCCACGGGGAATAAAGGTGTTTTTTTTTCCCCCTAGTATCAAGAATCATACTCCTAGAGTCTTCTTTTGTCTCTCAGACTAGAATGAATTAAATAGCTGCTTTCACTGCCTGGGTTGGAATGGGAAAGGAAGAGGACCATGATTTAAAAAAAAAAACCCAGACTTTGTCTCTGCAGAGTTCTTCAGTTGGCTTTTAATGCTGTATTTCATTTGGGAAAATAAATACATTTCAGCTTTCTCTCTTTATCCTCAACTAACCTCTCTTTGTCAGTGCCTATGGTGGGCTGACCTATGTGCCTTTGGGCTTCACAACCCTTCCCCACACCTGCCCTTAGCTCTATTCTGTGAGGTGAACAAGAACTCAGATGGAAAGTTACCATGGGACTCAGCTGAACTGGAGTGAATATTGCACTGTATTCGATTCCAGATCATCTTGGTCTCTCCAGTGCCATGTTCTCGTGGTTTGGTTTAACTGCTAGATACTCTGCTGGTTTAACTTTGTCACTCCCTGAATGGAGATCAGCAGGGAAGAGGTGTTGTGCTTCAAAGGAGAACCAGCAGAAGCCAATTACCCCCATCACTGGTGCCGTGAAGTCTGTTGGTTCTGTACTCCAGCCAAAATGGCAAGGCTTCAAGAACAGACTTTACCTTCCAGCAGTGCCCTGCCTCAAGTGAGAGTGACAATGGAATTAATGGGGCAGGGACAGTGGGAAAGGGGTAACACGAACTCATGTTTCATGTCCTGCACAATGCTCTTGCCTGCTGGTGCAGGGTTTCCTTGGGAGCAGCAGCAAATCTTCCTCTGGCAGATGTTTGCACCCACAGGTCTGTAAGCTGCTTAGGAAGCAGCTCCTAACTGTGTAGGGAGAACAGCTTGAGGACACTTCAGTTTCTAAATGCTGGAAAGTTTGGTAGAGCAGTGAGGAAGATGAAGTTCTCAAGGACCAGTTTACCATCTGCCAACCAGATAAAAGAGTCCTAAGTGAGTTCCCAAAGTGACATGGAGCAGTTGGAGGAGTGGGAATGTCTGTAACCCACGTTAGATCTGCTGGGACTAGGTGAGAGGCTTCCCCCCATGGCATGGTTAAGGTGAAGGACTCCTAAGTCAGCTTGTGCCAACAGAACAAGTAAATCTCTAAAAGGGACCCTAAACTTACTCACCTCAAACATGTGACAAGGTATCTAAGATCTGTCCTGCAGAGGGATGGTAGATCAGCTCATGATTGAGGCACTGGATGGTTTTATGGGTCTGTGACAGGGAATTAGAGCCCTCTGAGAACACAAAGGGACCCCTTTGCAGCAGCATAACATAGGAGGTGGAGGGATGAATTGTGGTCTATGTCTTGGTGGGACCAGGGCACCACTCCCTGATGCTGTTAGGAGAAACCACTACCCCTGTGTGCATAAAGAATAAATTGACTTCCCATGTCTGCCTGGTGCCATAAAATCCCATTTGTGCAGTAGAGGTGAGAAGTTTGCACCTTGTGGACTGATGTTACTCCTGGTTTGCTGAAGCAGGAAATCTCTTGGCTTTTTTTGTAGGATATTTTGGATATGCTTCTTAGATTGCCCTCCTGCCAAAGGATTTTGCTGATCATGACAATATCTTTTTTCTCTAACATTTAGAAGTAACCATCAAGCAAGCAGAAGCAACACTTTCTCTTGAGCTGGTGTTAAAGCCAGAGAAAAGCTCTGGAAGAGGGCAATGCCTGCTTGTTATTAACCAGCTATTCTGAAAAACTATTGCCAAAGAAAAAGCAACACTGTGGGGGTGGGGGAACTGGTGTTAAAGGAAATAAAAAAAGGGACAGCTCTCTTGTCTCCACACAAAGCAAGAGAGAAGTGGGCAACCCTCTTGTCTGAACGACAGGAGGAGTGCTGGGTGCTACACATGAACCTCTGAATGAAGCTCCACCTTTCAGGGCCCCTGCCATCCGTGTTTTGTTCTCACGCCAGATTCCTGGACTATAAAAATCTGCCTATAAGCCAAGAAAAAAACACTTCCCTGGAAGGATTTTCAAGTTACCGCCTCATGGCAAGATGGAAATAACAAAGGGGAGCTCACTCTGGATCTTCTGCCTCATCTGGAGTTGTTGCAAGGGCAAAGAACCTGTTCAGATAGGTAAGAAGGAAATCTAATTCTCAGATTATTTGCTCCCATATTGCTCTTCATAAGTGACAGACAGAGTTGTCAAATGAAAATGTGTCATATCTTCATGTAAGAGCTGTAGACGTGCCAGATGCTGTTCAACGTTCTACATTTTCTCCCTCAGTGCCAACCATTTAAGTATTTTGGTATTTTTTCTTTCACTCTGAGGTAGTTTATCAATCATTCTATGTCCTAAGTAACTAATTTTAAAGAGGAGGCTCTCTCAGTGCAGTTTGCATCATAAAAAAATAATATGCTGACACCCTTTTCCACACATTTCACATCTAGTCTTTGTAGAATTGTCACCACAATGCCTGCTGGACTTAACTGACCAAAGTGAAACACTACCATAGGAGAAATCACATTTTTTGTGGTTGCCTCCTGGTTTGGTTTTGAATTTTGAATGTCTTACCTACTTTTCTCAGTGGCTTAATTCACAAGCAATCAATGTGACTCTCTTAGTAATTCTAGACTTTCTATTGCTCTCTTAGTATTTCTAGCAACTCCACTTTCAAGAAGAGCCAAACTTCATTATTTCCCCTCATTTTTGTGTAGAAAAGTGCTAAATTACCCAGTCCACTTATGCCATAGGTGTTCCCAGCACTTATTACTGTCCTTTTAAAATGCTGTTTCTCTCAGGACTTCTCAGCACTTGAGCTGGTGTTGCAGTTTTCTGTCACCAAGACCTGAAGTTTTCAGTGTTCTCCTGCTGATTCTTTGGTAGAAATATTTACTAATATTTTAGGATTCACTGAGAACATTAATGACAGTGATGGATGTTGTGAGGTTGATTTTCCTAAATGCTCTACACAAACAACACCAAGAAATTTGCCTGTTATCATTTGTCATTCTTTCAGATGGGCCTAGAAGAAATGCTAAAAAGATTTTATAGCAAGGATATCTTCTTTAATTAAAGGTGGTTCATATTAGCTTTGTGCAGCTCAGGAGTATGAAAACTACTTTCTGAAGGTGGCATTTTATAGGAAGGATATCGATATCTTATTTAATTAAAGGTGGTTCATATTAGCTTTGTGCAGCTCAGGAGTATGAAAACTACTTTCTGAAGTGATATACACTTCAAATATGTACCAATACCTTTGACAGAGGTACAGCTCGGAGGTCCAAGACATGATTTTGGGTTGAGATGAAAAGCAAGTAGCTCTGAGCAGGCTGCTGAAGCTGGTGGGAGCTTCAACTGCTCTTTCTGAAGTGATATACACTTAAAATATGTACCAATACCTTTGACAGAGATACAGCCTGGAGGTCCAAGACAAGATTTTGGGTTGAGATGAGAAGCAAGTAGCTCTGAGTGGGCTGAAGCTGGTGGGAGCTTCAACTGCTGAGATCAGCAGCTAATGCCACCTGTGATGCCTCCTGGAAGGGGCTTGATTCAAGACTTTGGACCAAAGGTGATATACACTTAAAATATGTACCAATACCTTTGACAGAGATACAGCCTGGAGGTCCAAGACAAGATTTTGGGTTGAGATGAGAAGCAAGTAGCTCTGAGTGGGCTGAAGCTGGTGGGAGCTTCAACTGCTGAGATCAGCAGCTAATGCCACCTGTGATGCCTCCTGGAAGGGGCTTGATTCAAGACTTTGGACCAAAGCCCTGCCTGTGTTAAGAAGCAGGATTTCAAAAGTAGAAATGAGGTTTAGGGAGCTAGGATGAGGTTCCCCTCACTTCACTTTAGATATCTGCAGTGTGAATGCATCTACAGTGTAAATGCTGAGGGGTGCCATCTACCTTGGCATTCCTCAGCAACCTCTATAGACAATGGAGAGGAACATGCAGTCTTGGAGCATCTTCTTCCTAGGTAGACAGGTAAGGTTGGTAGCTAAACCTCTGCTGCTTCTCAATTTAGAATGAGGCTAGGATCATCTACTCATATTGGGAGTAGCTCTGGCATGGACTTCAAAAGTCTGAGGGGTGCCATCGACGTTGGATGCACCATGCAGTCTTGGAGCATCTTCTTCCTAGGTAGACAGGTAAGGTTGGTAGCTAAACCTCTGCTGCTTCTCAGTTTAGAAGGAGGCCAGGATCATCTACTCATATTGGAAGTAGCTCTGGCATGGACTTCAAAAGTTCAGTGAGATGAAACTCCTTCCCACAAGCTAATACCTCCCAAGGTTAACTCTTTTACCTTTGAAAATCTCTCCTTTAATGATTATCAACCAAAAAACATAAAGCCAATTACCCCATGTGGGGTGAATTTCTAACCTCCCCTCCCGTGACCCTTTCTCTAGTCCAGGTCTCCACCGTCAGCAGGAGCGAATGTGCCACCTGGGGCAACTTCCACTTTCACACCTTTGACCACGTGAAGTTCACTTTTCCTGGCACCTGCACCTACGTCTTCGCTTCCCACTGCAACGACAGCTACCAGGACTTCAACATCCAGGTCAGGCGCAGCTCCGGGGGCGGCCTCCTCATCTACTTCACCCTCACCATCGATGGGCTGGTCCTGGAGGTGAAGGAGACGGGCATCACAGTCAATGGGAACAAGTGAGTGAAGGCCACGCTGCTCTCCTGCAGCAGGTTTATTGCTATTTATTTGCAACAAGGGGTCTGTAGGAAGTGGTCCTATCCTGCAGAGGTGCTCCTGGCTGGGTGTGAAAGGTTCCTTGGATTCTAAGCAAGGTGGTGTGAAGAGTCCATCCCCTAGTGGTGGAAGATGCAAAAAGAATGTAAACTACATCTCCCAAGGTTCAACACCAACGTGTTAAGCAAAAGGCAATGTGTGTGTTAAAAGACATTTTTAAAAGGTGTAGGTTTCCCTAATGTTGCTTTATTTTGGGAGGGTGGGGTGGGGGGAAGGAAACAAAATCAACACTTTAGTTGTAGAAGGCTTTGGTTTTGCAGAGATTTTGTATTATTTTTTTTCTCAAGACATTATTTCTATGGTACTAACCCTCCTGCTGTGTTTTCCTGTTCAGGAACAGATGGTCCTTTTAGGAAAAGGTTTCTATTTCCAGATAGATTAGTCTAGAAAACAGCACTGCTTTGCAGATCACAGCTTGCCTGAGGATCTTCGTACACAAAGGACAGAAGTTTAAGTCACCATCCACACTTTTGATTCAAAATCCACACTTTTAATTCCAATCTGAAATGCACCAGGAAGCAAACTGCAAACAGAAGGGTGAAAATGGTCCATAAGTACGAAGCCATATGGAACAGGAGTTGAGTTGGGCACAGTTTTAAGGGCAGCAAGGGTGAGGGGTGCAGTCACCTTCTCCCAGCACATGGGTATGAAGAGCCAAGGCAAGTTTTGACTCTGGGAAAAACCCTCACAGTCCTGTTGGAGAGAAAATTGCAAGCATATGGGCTGTCTTATTCTTGACAGCCTTCTAGAAACACCCAAATATAGAGCAGCACCACTCAGCTGTAATTATAGCAGCAAAGCTCAGATGTAGCTTCTAAATCAAAGGGGCAAGAAATCTCTTCTCTTTTGGCCATTTTCAGTTTCTCTAAGTTTTTCAGGCTCTGGGAAAATGAACAGTAATTGCCTTGGTGAGATGAAAAAGTAATATAGGTCTGAGTCACTTCAGTACATGATGAGCAATAGATCAGAGCTCTTTTCACATCTCTGTGAATCCCAAATGTCAAGGAAAGCCTGGAGGGGTGATGAGAACCTGCAGTATCCTCCTGTAAAGGGCCATTTTCCCAGTTTTGTGACCTTGCTCCTGATAACCTTTTGGGTTAATGCCCTCAGAATGTGTAAACAAGCAGAGCTGCATTGGTATCACTCAATGGCTAATGCAGTATTGACTCATGACCAAAACTATTGTGTTGTGAATTAAGGTTAGCAAGAGGTCACAATGGGCAAGGTGATCATGCCTAAATTGAATGCATTGTGTTGGGTGAAGGCTGACCTTGAAAAGAATGTCCCCATGGCTTATTTAGCTTCTTTTGACTAGTTTTTCTCATTTCTCTGAGAGGATTTCATCAGTCTGTTCAATGCCTTGTTTTGTCCCCTCCCATTTCCAGGATCCCCCTGCCCTTCAGCTTGAAGAGCATCCTCATTGAGGACACCTGCACCTACTTCCAAGTCACTTCCAAGCTGGGCCTGACCCTCAAGTGGAACTGGGCTGACACTCTCCTAGTATGAACAGCCAGTTAGTTGTTTTTCTCTTGGTGAATCTCATGCATGATGAAAAGCAGAGCTGGGTGCAGGCACCGTGTTGATGTGGGACTGTTGGTGGGGAGGTATCACTGTCTCCATACACTGATGGGGACAGACCAGACTTCCCTGGGGCAAAGGCATGGAGGATGTTACAGGGGCAAAGGCATGGAGGATGTTACATGACCAAAGGTGCCACTATCAACCCTGGAGATGGAACCTCTGTGGTTATCTGCTGTCCAGCTCTGTCTTGTTAGCTGCCCTCTGCCTCAGTGCCTGTCTTGTGTGGGAAGCTGCTCAGTGTGGCCAGTTCAGACCTTGACCTCTCTCATTCCAAAGCCTTGCTAGGTGGGAGTTCCCCTCTACACACCCACCCCAAAATACCCTCTTCTGTAAGGGTGTATTTACACTTTTGGGTGTGAGCACTTATCTTGCACAATCAGGACTGAGATGAAACAAATGGAAGTTGTATGTCATGTTTTGTACTTCAGAGGGGCAGAGAGAGAGTAGAAGGTGAATAGAGAAAAAAAAAATTAAATTAGGAAGTAATCAAGTTCAGGAAGCAATGTTCAAACTCTAATTTAATGATGCATTTACTTCCCCCTTTCCCTTGTACTAATTCATACCTAAAATATTACAGGGACCACCTGTAGAGCAGACACAATTTTAGGGAAAACAAGGCCTTTTGTTTTTTTTGGTGGACATGGGTGACTGCCCTCCAAGCATGCAGGAGTGAGTAGGTGCAATGCTTTTAGCAAGGCAATAATGTGCTAACCTGGGTCTTTATTGCCCCCTAAAAAGAGCAGAACAAGTTCCTCTGGACAGGCCCACCCTTAGAAATGCTACGAGGTTTCCCATTTAGCCTATGGACTGGAAAAAGTCTTAAACACAACTAAAAGCTGACCAGGAGCTACTTCTCTGTAGCATCCAGCATCAGAGCCCAGCTCTCTGACCTGCCCAGGGTGGAGCTGTGGTACCTTGTCTCTGTGCCAGGGTGTCCATCCTGGGAGACACTGGTCCAGGGGTTAATCCAGCATCCAGTCAGCTCTTTAGCAGGTAGGAGTGATAATTGGTAGAGGATTTGCTTCCTATTTAAATTCAACCAGTCTGCAGGGAGGTTTTATGGGGGGTTTGTAATGGCAAAGGAGCCTCCTACAAATAGATTCTGCTGCTGTGCTTTCCTGTGGTGGGGAAAAGCCTTTAAAGCCAGGTTTCCTCTCTCCTTCTGCTTTGTAGCTGGACCTAGAAGAAACATATAAAGAGAAAATATGTGGTCTGTGTGGGAACTACGATGGCAGTGAGAAGAATGACTTGATTCTGGATGGTAAGCCATGAAAAAAAGCCCTTTCCACACCGAACAGAACTGTCATGGAACTTGACATCTGCTGCAGATTGCCTGACAGACACTCTGGATGCTTGAACATTTCTGTATGCAGGAGATGTATTTTAAGAGGTTCTGGGATGATTTGGGTTCTTCTGCTGTTTGCAAAGTATGCAAGAGTCTCAAACCTCTTTGGCCCAAATTAATTGCCTGGTTGTCAGGCAGCACCATTGTCAAGTGTCCCTCTGGTAGGATTAAACTTTTAGGAGCTTGTAGTCTCAAATGTGGCACAAGAGCATTTTTTTTTGGTCCATTCTCATCATTTTATAGTTGGGTGTCAAGTGTGATTATTTTTGCCTGTGTGATGAAATGAAAACCTCCTCCCTGAGCCAGAGAGATTTCCCTGAGCATCTTTGCAGAAACCGTGGTGCCATCCACTGACACCTCCAGATATTGCACTGAGCTGGGAAGAGGCCAGCAGAGCAAAGAGCTGAGGCTCCAACCCTGCAGCAGCCTGGTTGAGCAGGAGGGAATCTGCATCCTGGGGTGTCAGCTGCAGGACTGAAGCCTGAGTTGTAACCTCACCCCTTTATCCTCCCTTCCCAATGCCTGGGTGTCTTAAGTCCCCAGAAAAACATCCCATCTACCTCACCCATTCAGAAGAAAGTTTTGATTAAAAATACCACTTGCAGAGAGAGATTTGGGGTTCATTTTCATATTTTATGTTTATTTTATATTATATATTATATTTTTTGATGCATCTTAGTCACATTTCTGCCATTTACTTCACAAGTGCAATAGGTAAAAACTAAAGCTGGCTCAAATTTTTCTGAAGAAACAGTTTGCTGCTGAGAAGCATTGATTTGAGAAGAAGTTTTTGGTGGTGCTTTGGGAAAACCCCTCCAGCTAGTGTGATGGTTCCACACCCATACTGTGTGCCCATCTTCCTCTTCTCCTGCTCCCTCTTCCCCCCTTCTCCAGCCTTGCAGGCAGCGACTCAGATGCACCTGGGGATTATTTTGCAGGCTATAAAATGCACCCGAGGCAGTTTGGAAACTTCCACAAAGTGGAGGATCCCTCAGGAAAGTGTGCTGATGTGAGTCCAGATGACCACACTGGGAGGCACCCTAGGAGAGATGAAGATAGATGCAGTAAATTTGTAAGTATGTGTGGCCAAGAAGTATAAACCTCCTGAGCTGCAGCCCTGGAGGGACTGTGCTGAAACAAGTGTTAATTACAGAGCATCAGGCACTGAATTGAATTTTTCAGGTGTCTACCCCTGATTCTGAGAAAAATGTCAAACTTGCAGCTGAAAGAATATCCTATTATAGTGTCATAGAAATAGATAATGGGAAAGTGCACAGTGAATGACAGCTTCCAGTCCAAGAAAAAGCCCCTCATGACAGCAAGTTATCCTGAATAATCTCCTGAGATCCATTCCAACCTGAATTACCTGAAAAAAACCCTGAAAAATTGGGTTGCACATCCCTAAACCTGCACGTTGGTAAAATGTCAAATATTACTTTTTTCCCCCCCCCTTCCTTCTTTTCATTTTTTAACAGAAAAAAAGATGCAAGAAACTCATGTCCCGGTTTGGAAACTGCCCCAAAGTGGTTGCATTTGATGACTACGTAGAGACCTGTGCTCAAGACATGTGCCACTGTGCAGTTAATTCTTCTGACTCTGATTTGGTTTCCAGCTGCATATGCAGCACTTTAAACCAGTACTCTCGAGACTGTGTCCTCAGGAAAGGAGACCCTGGGGAGTGGAGAAGCAAAGAGCTTTGCTGTGAGTAACTATTGCTCTGGAGGTTTCTTTCGTGCCAGTGGTGTGCACAGGTGGCCAAGAAGGTCACCAGCATCCTGGCCTGGAGCAAAACTGGCCAGCAGGAGCAGGGAAGGGATCGTGCCCCTGGACTCAGCACTGGGGAGGCCACAGCTTGAGCACTGGGGTCAGTTTTGGGCACCACAGGATCAGAAAGACCTTGAGGGGCTGGAGTGGGTCCAGAGAAGGGCAACGGAGCTGGGGAGGGCTCTGGGGAACATGATTGTGAGGAGCAGCTGAGGGACCTGGGGGGGTTCAGTCTGGAGAAGAGGAGGATCAGGGGAGACCTTCTGGCTCTCTACAGCTCCCTGAAAGGAGGTGGGAGTGATGTGGGGTTGGTCTTGTCTCCCAGGTTGCTAGCTATAGGACCAGAGGAAATAGACTCAAGTTGCACCAGGAAGGAGGTTTGGATTTGATCTGAGGAAGAATTTCTCTCCTGGCAGAGTGGTGAGACATTGGCCCAGGCTGCCCAGGGAGGTGCTGGAGTCCCCAGCCCTGGAGGGGTTCAAAAGTCCTGTAGATGTTGCACTTGGGGACATGGCTTAGTGATCACGGGAGTGTTGGGTGGTGGTTCACAGAATCACAGAATGTCAGGGGTTGGAAGGGACCTCTGGAGATCATCGAGTCCACCCCCCCTGCCAGAGCAGGACCATCTAATCTAGGGCAGGTCACACAGGAACACATCCAGAGGGGTCTGAAAAGTCCCCAAGTTGTCTCAAGTCTCTGATTGGACTTGATGATCTTAGAGGTCTTTTCCAACCTTAATGATTCTATGATATATATTCTGATGCCAGCAGAGAAAAGAGGAGCTCTATTAACTACTGTGAATCAATCTGTAGAAGTGCTTTGACAGGAACATTGTTAATGGAAAAGCTTCTACAAAGTGAACTTCATTTTGCTCCTTACATTAGAACTAGATCTTACTATTGTCTCCCTCCTCCTCGTGGATGTTTTCTCCAGATCTTTTTTTGATTTTACCATGCACAGTTAACTCACAGCCTTGGTTTACATGTTGACATCTAGCCAGAAGTCATGGAGAAGTCTAATGTGTTTGTCCTCAGTTTATCCTGTGCTTTCCTACTCAGTAGTCAGAGATACCAAGCAGGAAATCACTGTAAATCCAGGGGGGAGGCTACTGGTAGTTCTCCCAAACTGCTGGTGTGGATTGGGATAGAAAATTAATGCCAGAATGACTGATGCTTCAGACAAAAATAAACTATTATGACTCCATAAATAATTCTGGTGTCCTTTGCTTGTGCCATGATTTCAGACACCCTTGAGCTAGTAAAATAATGTGAGATAACTCATATTTCCCAGCACTACTCCAAATATGAAGTAGAAGTGATCATAGAAAGTTCCTTCAGAGGTTAAACAAACATGACACATGCAGATAGAAAGTTTTGCAAACAAGATGTAGGGGAAAGGAGGAAGAAGGAATTGGGGTAGTGATACAATGGTTTGAGAGCTCTTACAAATCCATGATTAACATACCCCATCTTCATCTCTTCTTGCAGATCAGGAATGC